AGAGTGAATGGGAGTAGTAGTCAATCCCCGGGTAATCAATGCTGCTCCAGCAGGTGACGCTTCCAAACTATAGAACGCAGCCTGCACAAGTGGGCAGCCTACTATGGGGGGATGCTTTTATCACAAAAAAGAAGAAAAAAAGAAAATCAAGCTAAAACACACCCCTTTGGAGTTAAAACTCCTTTCAACCACCTTATGTCCACCCCATCTTTTTTCTTTTCTCTATCGTACTAAGCTGTGGCCCTGACTTAAAAATAAAAAACAAAAAAGTGTGCTGTGGGTCTTGCATGATGGGCCCATGTGAGACCCATGGAATGCTGGAACAGCAAGTGGAGTAGGGCAGAGCGCAAGTGAGGCCTTTTCGGTCTCAGCCCCGGTCCTCTGTTTCTCTCCCTGTTCATTGGTTTAAGGGCCCTGTGGATGATGCTTTTTTTTCAAAGGGCGACGGCCTTCAGATATTATCTTTGAACTGACAGGCGCCAGCTTTTCTTTTCTTTTTTTTTTTTTTTTTTTTTGGAAAACAACCCGAACAGATGCTAGGGATGTTGGTAAGAGCAGGCACCACTAGCACTATCGGGGAGCCTCCATCTATTGGTGAAGAGCAGCAACTTTTTTTTTTATTATTATTATTATTATTTTTTTTTACAAGCGGGCCCTGTGCCCAAGGCTGATATTATCAAAAAGGAGATTGAGGCCGGGGTCCTCACAGTCTACCCGGAGTGACAAAACAGATCCTGCTGAGAACCGGGCTCAGCGTCCCTCATCTATTGGTGAAGAGCAGCAACTGATTCAGAGTTATTCAGACTTATTCTCACTCATCTGGTTCCATCGGAATTCGAATATGAGCCTCGCCGCACCACTCCTGAACATGCCATTTTTGAGAGTGTAGCGTCGCCACACTCACTCCCGGAAGTGGTGTGTCAGGAGAACTCCGGGACCTGTCAGGATGCTGAGTTCGGGAGCACTCCCGAAATCCGTTTCTCCTCCAGCCTGAAAAACAGGAATTTCAGGAGACCTCTGCTGGTGGCTTGAGCAGTCCCAGAAACCTCCCGTTGTCTGAAACTGAAACTCATGCAGGACAAGCTACCTTCCCATTGGTAGGGTAATGGTCCTGAGTGCTGGTCACACTGAGGTAGGATAGTGGGATAGGGGGTGCGCTAGGAGTATTGACGTGAGGATGGGATG